ATAATAACATCAAATGAAAAGAAAACAGGTTAAATGTTCTGGCCTTTTCCTTTGAAAAAGCTGTAATGCAAACGGTAGACGTTCTCAATGACTGATAGCTGCTCTGCGGGTATGGATACAAACACTTTATTTAATATTCTAACGATTATCTTTCCGATCAAAACCTTTCGGGAACAACTCAAAGTTTCACAAGATTCTTCAAAAACAATATTTTTCCATATTCGGATAAGATAGCGGCAAACCAAGTAATTTTTACTACTTGCTTCTTTTAAACCATTTCATCGTTTCAAGCATGTCCAATTGAACTAAGCGATTATTTTTGTCCCTTTTCTTCCTTTTCGCGCACGAAACTGACCCAGTTGTGTACTATATTACAGCTAATTTTTACGCGAAACCACATGATTCGACGGGTCGGGGGTTAAGTCGGTTCAAATCCCGGGCAAGCCAAAAATAATAATTCTTTCTTCCTCAAGAAATCGGAGTGATCTCGAGATATCTCAAACTAATTCCGCCCTCACTTCGTCAAATAGCCGACTCAAACCAAAACCCCACGGATTTTAAATTTAGAAGGGGGCATGCATATTCGAGAAGTTTAAAGGAAAGCAAATTAAGCATTATAGCCTGCAAAAGTCGAAGTTTATTGAGAGGTTTTTTAAAGTGCTTACAGTACCTTTTCTGTAAAATAACTTTGCGGGTGAAGCATCTATGCACACATAAACGACCGCCATCAGGAAAACCATAATGAACTTTGCATCCATTGTTTAATCTAAAAATAAAAGGATTTAACAGTATCACGCGAGGCAAAATTGAATGGAAAAAAATTCATGCACGCCAATTAACCCCTAAAAGATATTCATGCTAAGGCCTAAAATAAATTCATACAAGGATTATGATAACGAAAAAAAATTCCTGCGGCTCAAAAATTCCCCCCCCCATAACTTTTCTAATGGTCCGTCCCTATATGACAGCAGGTTTTTCCTCCAAATGAAAAATCAATCAATAAATCAATCAACTTTCTTTAAATACGGCGGTAAATGACTCAGCAAGCTGGTTTTCAAACATGCAGTGTGATAATAATTAGCACAAGAATTGACAATTTTATCTGTTCCTGTCGACTCTCATAAACGTGACTATCTAGTTTGTATGGTAAGCGAGACTAATAATACTAGTGAAAAATAGTAATAATTTGAAATACAGTATAATAACAAGAAATGTCGTCATTAAAGAAATACGATAAAAACATAATGAAAAGCTACGTATATCCTAGGAGATCGCTAGTTTAAAGCTCTTAAGATCCCCTATCTCACGCGTTTAATTTGACAGTTGGTCCCAAGCCATTGCATCCCGATAAGAAAATGGACCCTTAAGAAAATGTGTTTTAGGTAGTCGTAGTTGGAGATCATAGTTAGAACCCCTCAAATTATAGTCATGAAATTCAGAGGTCCTATGAAACCGCTCCGGAAGGTGCGTCGGACAATTATAAATACTTTAAACATCGAACAGTCAGGTATTACATATCGCTTACCAAGCATCTAAAATGGAGCACAGATGAGACTAAACTGATTGTGATTGTATTTTGGCAGGTAAAATCTTAAAATCCCACAAGGCCTCTTAATACTGTTCCTGTCATCTTATTTTTATAAAGAAATGTTGTGTAGCTTTCCAAATTCAGTACCATGATCAAAGTTAGTGCGAGGATTAAAAACGTACCTGTGCTTTATTGGTCTTTGCTGAAGAGGCCTTGATCTAGTCTCAGATGCTAAGAATATATGTCGCAAAATAAAGAAGTTTCCCGGCCCCTGTGCCAACGTGTGTGCTGACAGTGCTTCAAGTCGTTCGGACCAGCTCGACCAGTCGTACTTAGTACGTGATCAGAACTGGTTTTGGCCGCACTTATTAAGCACTGCTCGCTCCCTCAATGTTTTCAGGGCTTTTAAATCTAAAGACACTTCAACCGATGAAGATGAGGGTCAAAACACAAAGTCAAAAAAGACTTTCTCTTTTAGTATTATTTTCAAAGAACGAAAAATGGTAACTCCCACGCGCATAATTCAAAAGAACTGCTCGAGGATTTCTACCTGTTGTACCCCCCCCCCCTCCCCTCCACCACCTTTACGGAAACGTGATTCGCGCGAGCTAGACTTCGCCTGAACAACGGCAATGCCGGCCCCAGCGTGTTCTTATTGGCTGAATGGAATACTACATATGATGTCTTTTTAGGATCAAAGGGGTGTCTTTAATTCGTGCAATGTGTGATTCTCGGAAATACGGGAAGTCTATGATGCAACTGAACAGGCAAATGTTTCCTGGGAAATGAGGCATTCTAATGCTTATGACTGCTATTTGCCGTTGTTTGTTTGTTTGTTTGTCCATCACGTTGGACAGTCATAAGTTTTATCTTTGTAAAGTATGCACAAGATTTCTGCAAATATTAAGTCCTTACGTTTTCTTAGGGTCATTGACTTGTAAGCTGACTTTTATCGTAAGCGTTTCCTACATATTTTTAATTTTAAGATCGTATTTTTCCCAATGAATCGCTGTGGATAACTCATCAACTCGCATGTTTGGCCTAGGTCCCTTTCATAATAATGACTGTTTATTAAAGAAACTCATTGCAGCAATACTGACATTGTAAATATAAGGGTGAATTTCATTGCTACTTATATTCGTATTCAAAATAGATGATATATCGCAAAGCTACTTAAAAAATTACGAACTAACGACATTTAATACTTAAAAGTGATAAAATGTTGAGTGCGCTTGGTCTTTTGGTCTTACAAATTGGGCGTAAGCGGTAGCTAGCTCCTGACTTCAGTTGATAATCACGCTGAACTTCCTCCAGTTCAGGAAGAATAAAGTATAACGGGTGGTTTTGGTTCTGTAATCTTGCAACGTAGACCTGACACAGGTGGACTCGTCTCTCATTTAACGTCGCGAGAGAAAGTGCAGATAAAGCCTTATTGTAATCCTACGTAGGACAAATGATACGCATAACCCTTTTTCAATGCTTTCGATATTAGAAGTCAGAAATTGAGGTATGCTTTTCCATACGGGGAGAGCGTATTCTAAAATTGGGCTTACAAATTTAGGGTAACAAGTTTTCAAATTAAAGCCACAATTATAATCCGTTTCAGCCTTCCTAAAGTTTGTCCATCCGTTTTTCCTTTTGTTTTTAATGTATTATTGAATTTTTTTTTTCTTTTTTTTGTAGTTTGTTTTGAGCACAAGTATTTTTGGGAGTTTTTTTTGGGAGTTTTTCCCCTGTTTGCCATTCAGTGATTAATTTCGCGACACAGCTCTGATGTTTTCTGAAAAAATATGTTGTCAGAAAACTAAAATAACATTGTTTTTATCATCTGTAAACTGGTTTAGTTATTGAAGCAAGACAGCGTACATCTGGTGTGAAAAGTGAAGTAAAAGTGAGTGAATGGATGAATGAAATATTTATGCACAAATTGATCGTGACGTCACAACATGCGGGGTATCGCGTTATCACGCGTGAGGATTAAAACAGTGCAGAAAATACTCCCGCCTGCCGGTGCTCACTTTATGCATTGATTAGCCGTCGAAATGGCCGTCACTGCACTTGAAACAGTCTTGTTTGCAGGGGCGTAGGGTGACCATTTTAACAAGTACGCACACGGGTTCATATGCTTTTGAAACTTCGTACAAAATAACGTTTTTGCTTTCCTTTAATACATAACTGCCAGTTTACAGGCTTGTTTTCAATAAAACGCGATATCACAAAAAAGGCTTTTAAAACGTTCTTCTTTGAGCCGGTACAGGAATATTTACCAGCACAAGGCGAGGCGCCTTTTTTGTAAAAATTTGTCACTGAAAAAAAATACTACATCATTTAGCTAGGAGTAAATTTCTTGCAAAATTCTTGTTGATTCAGCGCCAAACGTGCACCTGATTACGTGGATTATCTTCGGCATGGTTTGGTCCATGACTTTCCAGGTGAGCGACGTCAAAGTAGTCTTCGATAGACTTTTCTGACATTTATAGAGAGAGAGAGAAAACTAAGAACTGAAAAAGCAAAAAGGTTTTGAATAGGAAAATTTTTCACATAAATCTTAAAAGGAATGATAATCAGTCAGGCTCGAGTTTCAGTTTCCGATTTTCAGGAATACGCAATGTATTGTGGGATCGCCTGAAGGCAAAATTTATTCAGGAATGTTTCGAATTTATCACATTTCACTACTCAAACTGCTGTATTTTACGGGTATTAAAAGACGATGCTGAATAACAGAGAGACAGACAAGAAAAAAATCTGCACAATACAAATTCAAGTCACGTCGACACTCAGAAAACTTTAAAAAAATCTTACCAATTTCACACGTACGCACGTGCGTATTTTGCGTAAAGGACGCTACGCCCCTGGTCACTTGGGTTTTATTCGGTGGTAAAAATTCAAATAATGGGCTCTGGATCCGCGTCCACTCAATCTAGGCTTATAGACTACCTTGTTGTTGTTGGTGTACGGAAACCGACCGTCGACTCAACTGAGACTCGGTTGCTGTTACGGCGTTTTCCACAAAAGGATCATAAAGACTGCGTTTCACCTGGAGACGTCGTTTTTTTGTCAACTGGAAGGATGCAGTGCTGTATCGAAAAAGTTTTCTTTGCGCGAAGCGAACTCGTTGGCGTTTACGTTGACTGAAAATGATTCCTGCAAGGTTGTTATGGAATTTGTGTTTTAACATTAAAATGTGTTTCGACCTTGTTCGAGCTTTATTCACAAGAAAGAAACGATTGCAGAGAAAGAATTCTAACAGTGCGGCAGAGGTCTCGACATAGACGAGATTGCTGCATGATTTCTGCATCATCCATTCTTTCCAACATTCAGGGAGTGCCTATTTTTCCTCCGCAAGATGACTGACTCGAGGACGGCAATTACCGAGAGATTGGACAAAAACGACAACCTTCTTCCAGGCTTGAATAGCTGGTCTGTGTTTACATGTATCGAGGACAACAAAACAAGCCATTTGGCCGGCGATATGGATGAAGTAGAAACGTGGATTCAGCGATTATTGCTTGCACAAGCTCCCGTGTTAGGACCAACACGCGTGGAAGTTCACCTTCACTCTCCGTCTACCAACCTTCCGTTAATTTTTGCTGCCCCTGAATCGAACCGGTTTCCACTTATAGATTTTCCAATTCATATTCCTTTGGAACTTCTTGGTGAGGAGGCACGTCTGAACGTTTTAACGTGTATTTCACTGGAACACAAGGTAAGCTAAGCTTATGTTAGTCGTTAGTCTCACTCGATAGAAAACAAACACGCTTCAACGAAATGTCCTGCCACTGACCAGCAGGTGTATAGAGTAATTTTTATGTGATTTTACAATATTTAAACTCTGTACTTTGCCATAGTTTTTATTTTGGCAGTATTTTTACTTAAATGGAGACCAAACTAAGAGAAAATGAATTTAAACTGGTTGACACGCGTAGGTTGTGCCCAGTCATTAAAAAAAAACACACGCACGAACTTCACTACGACAAAAAGTCGTTTGTGAGAAGAAATCACAAACTTCGCAAACACGAAACTGTGATCATAGAAAAGAACACTTGCGCTAACGTCAGGAACATCTTCCATAGCCATGCTTTCTCTAACCTATACCAAGGAGGACCGAGGTGTTGCCGATCAAGTTTATAGCAACGCTTTGTTTGATGGCTACATGAATTTGATTGATGGCTATGCCCCCTGGTATTCAGTAGTGGTACACACATGAAAACAACTCAAACAAGGAAAAATTTCTGGATTCCTTTTTCCTGGAAAAAAACTATCATGAGGGTAATATTAACGCTCCGATCCTGGAAAACCTCATCATAGCTGGCAGGAGCTGATTGTAATCGGCTCCTGTAGCTGGCCATACCTTGCATGGTCAGGCAAAATGTAGCCTCCCACGCAGGCGTTTTTAGGGGAAGAAATACGAGTTCCCCTAAAAACGCCTGCGTGGGAGGCTAGGCAAAATGTTGCCTATTAAGAGAACGGCCACACCGTCCCATAAGCTTTAAAACTCACGGTGTTTAAATAAAAGATGTTGTTGCTAGAAGCAAGGCATTTGCCGACCAAATTCAAGTTTTGTTTGTCCAATGGCCCCATAGAGTGCTGCAACGCCACTGAATTTAATTGATGGCCACGCCCCATGGTATTTACTGTTGATAATTGGGAAAACTAGTGGAAAACAGCGAAATTTCTAGATTTTCTAGACAATTATGGCTTTAATGAGAAACTTAAGCTTTGATCAGGGAAATCCTCATTGTAACTGGTCGACGCGTACTGATCTACCGCCTAATGCCAAATTATTTTAAAATACAATTACCACGGGTGTTACAACTAAAACAGCTGGAACTGGGTCATTAAATTTACCCGTTGCCGACAAGTTTTGATTGTTCAATACTACTCCACACATGTACGACCTCTTTATTATATGTATGGCACAAGTTTCAAGTAAAAAGTTGTATATTGAATTCCATACTTGTTATATTTCATATAAGAATACCGCGACAAAAAAGTAAACAATTCCGACCTGATCAACTTTAAAGTGGCGGGGGTAAAGGGGGCGCTGTGTAAGTCAGTTCAATCAATCAAAATCAATCAATCTTTATTTGCCCTTTCACATACTAGTTACAGAATAATATAAGATAATTTTATACCTGGGCAGGAGCTCTCAGCAAACCCTTTTGGGCTTTACGAGGAGAGCCCCTGAAAAAGTTTACCACAATGATTTATTTTAAAGATTATAAAATGGATATAGCTGTTTTACGACGATTAAAGTAATTGGCGAACTTATTCAGAATAATCTTTATCTATTTTTTTTTGCTTGTGGATGCAGCAATTCATTTGTCTGATCCCCGATTTTTTATTCAAGCAAATTCCCAGTTGCTATTGTTGTTGTTGAGTCAGTGATATTCACACGCTAAACAAAAGACCTTCGTGTACTGTCACACTTTCGTTTGCTTGATGTGATGCAGAATTCAAAAACGTGACTAAAGCTTTGAGACTATAAGAGGAAATATTTTGCCGTTATCTGTCAACAAAATGAGTTGACTTACGGGATACAGGAAATAAACTGCTTTTGTCAGTCAACAGCATCATAGCGGTATTTGTTATTACTTTTGTGAGCAAAATTGGAGGGGAGGGATTTTTTTTTCGAGCTGCTTAATTTTTTTTCCTTGACATTTCTCTAATATTTTAGTTAATTTTCCATTACATTTATCTATTATTATTTTTACTTCGCCCGCCCTCTTCAATGAAATGTTCCGTCTCGGTATGTGTTCCCTACTTTTGTCAGTCACCAACAGCATTATAGCGGCATTCACAGGCTAGTAAGGCCTGTTTCAAACGTCGTGCTACTGACGTGCTAAGCTGGCTCGACTGTAGCTCGCCTGCAGCACGACTCTAGCACGACTTGAATTCAGAAGTCGAATTTAATTCAGTCGAATAGAACGGCTGTTGCCGAAAACAAAACACAAAAATAAAGAAACAGTTAAGCAAACTTTTAAATGTATTCTAAAGTATTTATTATTCATGAATTGAGAACAGCTTGCCGTGCTAAAAGGCAGCAGCACGACTCGCTTGGTTTCAAACGTCGCGCTACTGCCGTGCTATTTAGTTCGGCACGGCAGTAGCACGTCGTTTGAAACGGGCCTAAGTCTTTTCCAGTCGTTGGTTGTCGCTCAATATTGTCCGTTGGTGTTCTTCTTTGCACTGCACTAGCTTGTTGGCCCTGTATTTAAAAAAGTACACAGCAATAGTAAGAACATGTGTACAACATTACAATTTTGAGTAAGTAATATAACTGTAATGGAATAACCTACAATACATACAGAATATGAGGTGAAAATCAGTTGCTTCAGCTGAATACCTCTTGACCAGGCTAATTGTCTTTTGCGCTTAAACATGAATGAACGCCGAAATCTACCTCTCGATATAGCTTTGTAATCATTTTGCATGCGACCTGATTTGACTGAAAAACACAAGTGAAAACGGGTAACAAGCCGGATGACATCCAAGTGACAATCTTTATCTGCATTAGGCAATCATAAAGCTCGATACCCTCGCTACCCATGAAATGCATGTAGCCAATCAGAAACAGGTTTACGAGATCTGCTAAACAACTGTATATCCCCCGTGATCTTGCAGAGTCGAAGAGCAAATGCTCATCTTAATTCTCGTCAATCCAACTCTGAAGTTAACCATCGTACTCATCTGACCGTGCTGTAGCAAATTTGCCACAAAGAAAACTCTGAGTCTGAGAGGTTATTGCAAAGCATGCGATCCCATAAGGCTACTGGGTCTGATGGACTTGCTGCACAAATACTTAAAATAGCTGCCCCCACAATCTCCTTGCTGTGGAATAGGATTCCTCTCGACATGTAGCATGCGTAGCAAGCGTTTCCGTTTGGTTTCGGAGCAAAGAAAGACCGAGGAACGGGATTCTCGGTTTTGGCCGCGCGAGAAATGAAACAAGAGCCAAAAAAACCCCTCCCCGCTCTTTTACTTACGTCATTTTTCGCGCGGTCTTTGACTCTCGTTCCTCCTTCTTTGCTCCTAAACCGCACGGAAACGCTTGCTACGCAGGCCACTCGACATGCGAAAGAAGGACACCGCTGGCGCGTTTAAGAATGCTCTTAAAAAATATTTTTTAGCCTAGTTCTTATGGGTATAATGTTTTAGCATTTTTAGATTTTAATGTACAGATCACTTTTTCTTGTCCTATAATATTTTTTTAAAATTTGCTGTGTCATAGTTAGTCGAGAGGAGACTGGTTATAGGAAACCAGGCAAACATCAAAGTTGAAAACAATGGTGCTGTAGGTTATGTTGGAAGCTCCCTGACCGTGCACAATCCTTTGTTTTCTGTCCACAAATTATGACTGAATAAATTAATGCAATGTTTCTATTGGTCAATAACTTCAAAATGATAGGAATGCTATTAAACGTTGTGCAGGGTCAGGTCCAAAAAAGCTAACAAAAACCTGGAACAAAGGGTTTCCCAACCATTCCGCTTTAATCAACTATGGCTGTGTTTATCGTAGTAGTTTTTGATATTCGTAATTTAAGACTGAGGGCCACTGTAGTTCATCAGTTGTACTGTCATCTGTCCTAATGTGTGTTTTTATCTTTTCATTCTAATGTACATATCACTTTTTCTTATCTTGTGGTATTTTTAAATTTTAATTCGTCGTGTTTATTTTGTTAGTTCTAAATATTTTAATTACGACTGAGGGCCACTAGTTCATCAGTTTTTACTGTCATGTGTTACCCTCATTAAATAAGTTGTTAGTTACTTACTTACTAAGATCGGAACGCTTGTTTCATCGCCCAACTTTTATCCGCCGCGCGCTAAGACCACGCGCGGTTCTCGCCCTGCGCTCGCTACGTAGGCAACGATATTATAAAACTCGCTTTCGCAAAAGGGCGAGGAATTATTGAAGAACATGGCAAAATATCTTTGATGATTTCGTAAATTGCAACAAATAGATCATAAAATAAAATAAAAATTGATATCGATGAAAGACAACGGGTTCTGATTATATAGGATATTGGATATCCGTTTAGAAGAATCTTCCATGTGGTTCAAAATATTCATTGGTCAATGATTTTGGATCTCGGTATGTACTATAACTCTTTTAAGTCGAGTCTGGAAGCATGGAGACATCTTACACGCCTTGAAAAACTATCAACTTACCTGTCTGATCTATATAAAAATTACTGAGATCAATCCGCCATGTAATTAACTTCAAACATAGCCTGTGAACAGGCCTTTGGTCGAGCGGGGAATTAGGGAGAGGGAAAAGCGAAAAGGCCTGTGGACAAGCCTTTGAGACCGCCGTTCCACGGCACCCGCTGTGCATCAGATCCTGATGCAAGTTCTTATTGGCGAGAACACTGACTGTTGAAAGGTCTGATTGACATCGGCTTTTCGGTCGGCACGTAACACGCGTTTGGAAATAACAAAACACTCCAAAGACTGTTAAGCTTGTTCAAAAGCTATTACCAAGGGAGGAACTACGCGCTCCAGTCAAAAGACTCACACTATCTAATGGATAGAAAAACACTAGGCTGGAGTTTACCGAGTCAAAATGCAATTCTCCATAGTTGATGTAGCTTCGGTTTAAGCTGCACTTGAATCTTATAACTTTGGATCTGTAAATTACTATCCGTGATCATTTCAAACATTCTGCAAAGAAAACTAACGACCTGGGCCCAGCGTGATACAACATTTCAGAAAAACATTACATTTACGGACTAAAGAAAATCGCTTAGTAATTGAGATCCAGAGGGCACTTTGGGGAAAAGTACGACCCTTATTCAGCCGCAATAAAAAGCTTTACGCTTCAAAAGAGGTCAAAGAAAATGCTCTTGCATCAGAGAGGGCAAATCCTGCCGACCAGAGACAAAAACCACGGTAAATCGATATGTATGCCATGACCTCTCAGTGTGAAACCAGCGGCTAAAACCATATTTGCTCAGTGAAAATGTAGAACCTTCCAGAGCATAATCTACCGAGCAGAGGAAAAAACTTATGGGAACAGGCAGCATTTTGGCGTGAGGTAAACGCCGTGTAGGCCTACCGCCCTCTTTTATTGCTATAAATGCGGGATAAATACCCAAAGGTGTAATTCCTGTCGGCGATCGAAGCGCTGTTGATTTCTTTGTACTTGTCTTTGGAGGTTCAAGTTCTGGAGAGGTCATGATAGTATCTGTACCTTTCGCATTCCAAGTTCGCTCATTGCAGGGGCTTGTTGAATTAGAAACTGAACTAGCAAGACGAACGGCGCGATGAGCACAAGTTAAGCAGCTTAAATCGGAAAAGCTTTCTCCTTGCACAAGAGGAAATCTTGAGCAATCAAATGCTTGCGCTAGTACAACGCTGTCTTGGCCACTGTCAACCAGCAAGGTCTTATTTCTTGAAACGCCAACGACCGGCACCGTATTAATTCTCTTACCGGAGATCAACGATTTTTTTCAAAATCGACAATTAGGCTCGCGGTCCATTTCACTTTGTTTTGAGACGAAGCAGACACGGATGTTTTCCCTTTAATTTTCCCAGGAGTTACTCACGCGCGAAATTGATTGACAGATAACGATCTTGCTGACAGATGTTCGGCAAGATAATTACAAGAGGGCGGAATAGCGGCCTCAAACGTGTGTCTACAGGCTCTCTCCCCCCTTCCCTTCCCTTTCCTTGCTATTTTTTTCCCCAGACAGAGAGCCTGTTCACAGGCTACTTCAAACAACGACCTATCATTAAAGTTATAAATCATTATGAAGGCTTACTTGAACAAATCACCGAGGCATCTTCGCTGTGACCGCAATTTTCTACGCCCCATCCTCTGTGCTGACAAGTTACAAGTGAACTTTCACTTCCGGAACATCCCACATCGTCCAGCCAAATCTGACCACTTCCAGCACCAAAGCGCGCAGAGCCGGGAGCACTTACAGCATCAGGAAATCCCAGTTGGCGACAAACGACGCGAGCATCACTCGTATCCCAGACATCATCACAAACAGTTCCCCACTTGCCCTTGTAGAATATCTCCACTCTTCCTTCTCCTGGCCAGCTTCCACCAACCAGTCTTAATTCTAAAAACGGTAAGGGAATCTAATTTCACGATTTATGGAGAACGTAAACAAGCGCGACGAATTTTCCTTTCTCTTTCTAAGCTTAAGTCCGGTCCCCAAGAAATCAACTCCAAGGAAATTCGCCCACATTTCACATATTCAGTTAATTGTAATAACCGCTACAAAGTGTGGAAAAACTCAATCGAATCATTTTAAAAGTGACTTCTTCGCTGCCGTCGCCGTCGTCGATGCTAAAGCTGACTAATGTCGAAGTGGCGGAAACAAGTTATCAAATGTTAAAAGTTTTATTACTTTGCGACCGGGAGAGGGTGCAACCTCCTTCACTAAAGGTAACAGTGCTAACTTTTCAAGTGAAAATTGGTAAAATGGAGGTTTCCGGGGAGTCTGTAGCTATATTTTGAGAATACGCGAAAAAGCTTTAAGTCAAATCTCGTATTCGTTGTCGTACTCGTCTTAGAATCCAAAGGTCTAATATGGCTGAGATCAGGCCCAATTTTTGCAGCTTCCATATATTTTCTTACGTGGTGGAAAAACGAAAATAGATCCTGATCTCAGGTTATCCTGGCAGCTGCATTCTGACCAGGTATAACTTGCTTAGGGACCTAGCAGGAAGGGTGTCACAATAGTCTATTCTTCATTCTTCCCTTAACAAAGGCATGAATTAAAGACCTTGTTGCGTCTACAGGCAGGTACAGTCAACTCTCTTTATAGCGGACACTGTAGGAACCTCGAGTCAGTGTCCTCATTAGGTAGGGTCTGTCATAGCGGGAGTTTAATTATTTCAGTCAAACGTCTGTAATTTGCCTGGGATTTAGCTGGTTTGCGTTATAGCGAGAGTTGTCTGTATTTTCTAATTTTGAACAGGGGCGTAGCCAGCCTATAGACCTGTAGGCCCGGGCCTACAAATTTTTGGTTTGATAACTCTACTTCTTGTTATAAATTATGCGTTTTTAGGGGTGAGCTAAAAAGCAGAGGACCATGCAGGCCTAAAACTAGTCGAAAAGCTGCCTACGCCCCTGATGGATATGGTAAAATCCAGCCCTGCACGTATTACTGATGTGTGGTTCAAACTGACTCAGGTTCTTATCAAACAATTTTCATAAATTCCAAACGGCTGAACTCGTGTGATTTTAAAATCTCCTTTTTTACATGACTTGTCAATGCAAACTTTGTCCAGCTATTGCCTCGTTCCTATGCTCAGGAATTCTGTTTTGCTATCGTTCAGTTGTTATCGTTCAATGGCTTCTTGTATAGCAATAATAATTCTAGGTAACTGCAAAAGGCTGAAAAAAAAATACTCTTGTAGGACACGGATGTCTTAAATGCCAAAAAACTATATACAGTCGACTCTCTCTTAACGGAAACCTCTATAAGATAGACACCTCTGTAAAACGAACACCTAAAGTTGGTCCCTGCCTTTCTTTACTCCCTTTATTTGACTCTCTATAAGACGGACATCTCTCTAAGACGGACACTTGATGCCGGTCCCAAAGGTGTCCGTTTTAGAGAGAGTTGACTGTATGCAGGTCAACAAATTGCCTGGTACCTAAATATATGTAGAACACAGATCAGCCGTACGCTGGTGAAATAATTTGTATAAGTTCTTTATATATTTACTACTACAACATATTTTAAAGAATCGAGAAAATGCTACGTTGAGGATGCTTGTGTACATTACTTACTTGAACAAATCACCGAGGCATCTTCACCGTGACCGCAATTTTCTATGCCCCATCCACTGTGCGGACAATTGGCAATTGAACTTTCACTGCCGGCACAACGCACATCGTCCAGCCAAATCTGACCGCTTCCAGCACCAAAGTGTGCAGAGCCCGGAGCACTAACAGCATCAAGAGATCCCACTTGGCGACAAACTACGCTAGCATCATTCATATCCCAGTCATCATCACAAACGGTTCCCCAGTTGCCACTGTGGAATACCTCCACTCTTCCTTCTCCTTCCCAGCTTCCACCAACCAGTCTTAATTCTAAAAAGGACCAGGACAATTGGCCAGCATGAGAATTTGATTAATTTTATTTTTCTACGTTGTAGCTTCTATGAGTACCCCCGAAGATTCTATTAATGAATTGATTATTTGAAAGATGATTCCGTAAGTCGTTCCCGTAACTCGTGTGAAATTCAAATCGGCATTCCTACATGAGCAGTGAATATTTTACGCGAACTTCTCTGTATTTGATCAGATTGAAAATCTTTGAATGGACTAAAATTCTTAGAATACATTTACATCAAATTCAAGGAAACTGAGCTGGTGCAAATTTCGTAACTGCATTGCGTGTAGCCTGAATTTCAGACAATGTAATACTTCGAGTCATTTTCTCCTCTCAACAACGTCGTTACTGAGGGAGTAAAAACGACTCGAGGTAATCGTCTGAAATTAATAGGCTACCTCGCGTGTGAATTCACGGCTCATTACGCATGCAAGAATGGAGAAAGGAATCTGAAATCTACAACTACTAGCGGATTCAACTTGCCATTAATAAATTCATTGATGGAATCTTGGAGGGTACGCTTTACCCAACGCTTAAAGTTAACGCTTGATCTGGCTTGACTGTAAAACGTTGCAATGAACTTATGCATCAGTCACAATTTGTAAACAAAAAACAAATAGCTGTAGCAGCGCTCGATCATTCTGAGGGAACGCTGGAGTAGAGCAAAAACGATGTCAGTATCACTTGCAAATATACTTGAAAACCCATATTATCTTGCATTCTTGGTTTAAAGCCTTTTTTCTTTTCTCCCGACAATGTTTTTTTAAATAATAAAACATTAGCAATAGACAAAATGACCCTTGAATAATCCTGGTCTACATAACTTACTTGAACAAATCACCGAGGCATCTTCACCGTGATCGCAATTTTGTATGCCCCACCCATTGTGCGGACAATTTTCAATTGAACTTTCACTGCCTGAACAACCAACATTGTCCAGCCAAATCTGACCGCTTCCAGCTCCAAAGCGTGCAGAGCGCGGAGCACTAACAGCATTAAGAGATCCCAGTTGGCGACAAACGACGGTAGCATCATTTATATCCCAGTAGTCATCACAAACAGTTCCCCAGATGCCATTGTGTAATATCTCCACTCTTCCTTCTCCCTTCCAGCTTCCGCCAACCAGTCTTACTGTTGATGACAGGACTGCCGATTTCAAAATATATAACGTCGTGATTCTCAGGAAAAAAAGTATCTTTTTTCAGCAACAACCATCGGGATTCGGCATTTGCGTGATATAAAAGCATCTGCCCAATTCTAGTTAGACCCCCGAAAGAAGTGTTATTTCAGCTGCTTCGATCATTTGAATTACAAAGCAGAAATAAATTCAACATCTTCAGCATTTTTTAAAAAGGGTTTTTTAAATGTGGTCACGTGCTTGATGGCGTCATGATTTCAGAAAAAGAGGAAAATGAAATGGGCCAATGGTGTTTAACGTGTGGCAGGCAATGAGCCATTCAGTGTTTATTCACTTGGTGCTTAAACTGTCAAATTCTGCCCAGAACGGAGAAAAATTATTGTTTCGGTGAAATTCTCTTTGAAAAACCCCAAAATTTACAAAGAATGTATGAGCTCATTAAAGTTTTGCTACCAATTCTTCGTATATCTAAATGCTTACCTTGCTTTGTAGATAAAGCAAGAACTAACGCTATCAAGAACACCACAGGAACCTTTGCAGCCATTATTTAATCTAAAGAAAAAAGTGATTCCTTTATCAGTAAATGACGCTTTACATGTAAAAGTTTTTATTTGGGCGGAGTGCATGTCAAAGACAAACGTAAAGTAAACAAATGAGCATTTTAAGGCAAACACGAGATTAAGGTGCAAGTCACATATCATATTTTTTCCTACAGGTTTCTAAAGGGCGCGTGGCGAGCAAAGCACATCGTGCGAGAAACTGATTACGGTCCTGTCCTGCGTGATAGGTGTCGCGTGTCGGAGGGGGTCAGAGAAAAAAGGCAAAAGGGAAAGTGATTAGATATTTCGCGTTTCCCCTTTCTCCTCCTCTTCTTCCTCTTCCTTCCTTGTTATTATTGTTGTTGTTGTTAGTATTATTATTATTATTATTATTATTATTATTATTTATAATATTATTGTCATCATCGTATCTTCATTAAACACAGCTTCTAGATGGCTTGCTGTAGGTAAGCAAGAAATTTTACAACAAATGTTCCGAAAATTCTAGATCTCAAATCGTCTTCCGAACAGATATTTTCCGAAAATTGCCGCTGGGTGCCCCTGTGTATATGTTCGCCATCAAGAAGGCTTCGATCGAGCACCAGTATCCAGTTGAAAGACCATTCACGACGATCGAAAAAAACGCTTGGCGATCGAACCTTTTCCAAAGCATCCGCCAAGATTTGGAACAGTCTCCCGCAATCATTACAGTCACAGCAAACTTTTAACACCTTTAAGTCATTGCTTAAAACTCACTATTTTAGAGAAGTGTTTAATTTATGATTTCTTTTTAGTGTTTCATATAGTATATATCCTCACATTTTATGGTTAATTTAAAATTGTAAATATATATTATAACATAGTAATTTTGGATTCAATTTTAATATGTAAAGCGCATTTGATCATATCCTCCTGTATGTCAATTAATTTGCGCTATATAAATATTAAATATTATTATTATTATTGTCTATCGTTTTGAATAACCGGTAGGTTCTCATTTCGTTGCCTTGGTTAGCATCTTTTCTAGTGTCGTTATTTATTTCACTTAGCCATCTTTGTAGTTCAATATCCTTAAGTCGTTGCCTGATCATGTTTACGATTCCCATGTCCGCATTAGTGTGCTTTCACCCAGAATTCTCCTAACCTTATCTGTTCCAGTAAACTTTTGATTTTTTGCTCCAGAAAGCTTTATTTTCATTCCATTCAATGTCATTGTATGCTATTTGGGATAATTTGCTTTCTTGTTTTGGTTAAGGTTAACCAGAACTTAAAGTTCCTACAGTTGGGCTTGGAAACCTCCCTGTCTCAGCCCTGCCCCGATTGTTATAATTGCAGTATTTATTAACTGCCAGCAACCACTTCAGGAATTTATTTTGAACCTGAATTCTGCTGGATCCTTTTCTTGTCCATTGCAATCAACCCCCACACTTCTCTCGCATAAAAGAGTATGGGAGATATCAGTGCATCAAATAACTTCATCGTTAATTTTAAATTTTCTCTGAAGTAGCTTCCCACCTCTTTTCGTTATTCTTAGAGAGCTTTGAGTGTAACTTTCTTCAACTCTTGCCTGAGATTAAAGTTTCCATGACTCATTATTAGCGCACGAGTAGTTGTTTATAATTAAAGGCTTACCACAATTATTAAAAACATAATTATCGTCTTGTCTAAATTTACGCTTAAACCGGCATATTAAGCTTATTAAGGATTATTTGAAGTCTTTTGCTGATCTAGAGAAAATCACTAGATCGTCCGCATATAAGAGGCAATTTATAGATTTATCACTTAGCATAATGTCGGTTGGACCCGCTGTCTTTAGGAATTTTGGTAGATCACTTACAATAGATAGAAATTAAAAAGAGTAAGTGGCAACATGCAACCTTGCTTTACCCCGGCATGACAAGTAAAGGATTCGGTTAATTTTTTATCAATTTTAACTGCCGATTTATCAATTGAGTACATGGATATTAAAACGTCTAAGAAACGTCCTTGGACACCTTCTTTTCTCAGTTTGTCGGATAGTTTCTGACAAGGTATACAGTCGAAGGCTTTTCTAAAATCGACGAAGCGTGAAAAGAGTAAATTTCGGTGCTTCTGTGGTTTAGATTTCATGTACTTGTCAATTAGAATTTTTAATGTGAAGATGCTATCAACTGTGCCATGCATTTTTCTCAAGCCACCTTGTTCAGCTTTCAAAATTCCTTTTTGGACCATATTACTTCCTGACAAATGTGCCGGGGGTGGGGGAGGGATTGGCGCGATTGGCATTGACTTATATGAACCAACATCGAGACATGGGGGCGATTGAATGCTTCCCCTTTTCCTGGGGATTTTTTTCGCATTTAACAGTGTATTAATTGTACAAACAGCCTATCTGACACATCATAAGAAGTAAGTTTCTAAAAATGGGAAGCTTCGTGCAACTAAAGTGTGTTAGTACTGAGTACAGCTTGGAAACAGAAATCTTAACCCCAACTAACTTCCTTAAGGTGGTTCGATACAGTTTTTCAGGACCAATACCTCCCGCAAGTTTGAGCATAAACTACGTCGCCATAAACAAAGTTTTGGAAAAATTGCCACCACAGTTGTACTAGATAAAGATGAAAATTTGTTATGATCAGGGTTGCAACGGCATCGGAGTTGTCATAGCAACGAAATGACCTATTTTTTTTAACTGCAGCAGTATATCTCGGCACTAGGAACTGTTCTTCCAAAATCGTTCACGGAAGCTTTTTCTTCCAAAAACGGCCTCGTTGTTCGTGAAGTTTAAGCGAAATCTGTAAGAGCGTCATAGAGATATTTTGGGATAAAGTTTTTATGGTTAGAAACACAGTAAAAAATGGACAATATTGTTTTTGGCCGTTATTTGTTATTTAATCTCAAGAATCTTAATTTCTTTTAAAAAATCTATAGAGCGGTTTAAAAATTATTTGCTAGTTTGTTAAAGCAGACCAAAATGTTGAAAAACCGCTAACAAGAGCGCTTCGATACATACTAATCAAACCCCTCTTTCTAGCAATCGGCTAGAGCTATCTCCATGATCTTTCACAAACGTTTTTAAAAAGATTGAAACTACTATGGGGTGAAATTGCATGTCAAAAGCGCTTCGTTTTCTTCAGATAACAGCCGAACATCAAGATTGTCCATTTTTTACCGTATTTCTAACCACAAAATCTTTATCCCAAAATATCTCGATAACGCTCTTATAGATTTCGCTTAAACTTCACGAATATCGAGGCGGCTATTGGAGGAAAAAGCTCCCGTGAATGATTTTGGAAGAACAGTTCCCAGTGCCGAGATATACTGCTGTAAGCAAAATAGGAAATAGCGTCATTGCAACACTGATCATGACAAATTTTCATCTTCATCTAATACAACTGTGATGGCAATTTTTCCAAAACTTTGTTTATGGCGACGTAGTTTATGCTCAAACTTGGAAGGTATTGGTCCTGGAAAACTATATCGAGCCACCTTAATCTGATACTGCTTGTGCTAACTTTCTTTATGTCATAACTGAATGTTATAATGCTTTCTCACGGTGAGTACCATCTTCAAACTTAATGCGGGGAACACTTACCTGCGTTTTCTTGGTTTCTTGCGAAGAGTGCTTTGATCGGGCTTTAAAGGATCGAATTTATAAGGTCCGAAACTGATTTTTGCACGTGATCACCTTACGACAGCGACGTCAACTAGAATGACAGAGATATTAATAGGCAGCTTAAGCAACAGCTCTGCACGTGCATCAAGCTCATTTGCACATTTCTCTGCCGTCACTGCACGACTACGACGCGAAAATGCGTAATTTCACGTTTTGTGGAGGACTTGAACAAGATTAATAGGGCGTTTAAGCAACGATCACAGCAACGTCAACTAGAACAACGGTGATGGCTACGAAAACGTCACTTAAAAAGTAACGTCGCGCTGCTTCAAACTTTATCGCGCTTATTCGGCTTTGTCTGTTTTAGCGTAAAAAGGACTTCCTTAATGGCCTATAGAGATAATCATTGTTCTCTTATGGTTAAAGGAATGTAAGACCTCATGAATATACTCGCCACGAGTCTCCATATACGTTGGTCTGTTTTATCGTTATTTTCTGTTTCGGTTGCCCGATAACAGATAAGTGTAGTAACCCGGGCTCAAGACTCTATCGCTAGCTCCCTTTCTTTCCTAAATTTGGCTTTTTCCCTTTAAAACGTAAAAAATTAATATGAGTTTTACCGGAATCGTTGTGGGTGTATTCGTGAGGTCCTTTTGGCATATTTTATCTTGTGGCCGTTTGTGTATCTTGGCAACATTTTATAAGCAATAGTTTTTGATGAAGACGTTGCTTTTATGTCTTCTGTTACAAGGCCAATGATTTAAAATTATTAAAGAAAAGCAGTTATTCCTCAGGCGTTGAAAAAACCGAACTAAAGCGATAATTGTGGTCAATAGGAACAGATAAAATAACAAAATCAACCAATCAGATGTTGAAGCGCGAGTAAGTCAAAGTGGTTGAGAAAGTAAACCAAT